TGTTCGTTCGTCCGTTGCTTGTTTTGTGTGTGATGTTTGTGCTGCTCGGTCTCACCGGTTTCTGTGTGTGCTTCAGGTGTGCATGGTCAATGTGTGTGGACTGCCCGCATTGACCTCATTGGAGTTTGCTTCATTGCTGTGTTTCCTAGTTGGCAGGTGAACAACCCTTAGCTTTGTTTCTTTAGAATGCCAGCTAGCTCACTCAGATGGGTTTTCTGGATGTGAGTCCTTGATCGGTGGGTGCGCAAAGCATATTCCAGAAGGAGCCTTTGACCCATGCCAGTTGTACGACCCCACTTGTCTGGGCTAAGTTTGTCGCTCAAGGTCCCTAAGACCCCTGGTCCCTGAAGTTGCTGCTCCTCGGGCAGCTGTTGCGTTTTGGTTTGACAAAGGCGTTTCGATCTGCGACTCAAACTCGACTGCGCCTTGTTGCCTTGCTCACCTCGTCCACCGACTCCAGGAGACGAAGCTGAAAACCGGCAACCAGCTAGTGAAAGGCCGGAGCGATCCAGGACGCGCGATCAGCTTCCATTTGCTTAAGAATATTTTCCCCTGTTGGTTTTAAATGGAACCTAGGAACACTGGAAATGTTTTTTTTCCAGGTGGCTTAAGCAAATGGAAGTCAGGTGACACCACTTTGCGCTTGCTTTTTGAGGGTATCCTTCTGCAGGTTGGTGAGGGAAACCAGACACACGAACACGATTTTTCTGGGTCCCCCTTTCACACCCCATATCATTTGTGAGACCTTTTTGGACGGGGTCCCTTTACTCCCAGGGCAAACTCTATTGAACATCAACCAAAGGCCGGGGTGCCGCTTTGATGGGGAACCCCGAAGTGAATGAGGCTCCTTGTTTGAGGCAAGCAGCTGGTGGAAAACTCGGGTTTCTTAAAAAAGCCAAATGCGACCACGCCCGAAGAAAAACAACAAAGTGATAGAGTAGCCATGGATGGGCAAGCGACTTTGGCATCAGGTTATTGACTGTGGCATCACGTTATTTTGCCCAATGGATGGGTTTTCCGTTGCCGCTTTCCAGCATCTCCAGCCATGAATCCAGAGAAAGCCACAGGACAGCAGATCCACATGTACCTCTGGTTGCTCCCATATTTCGGGCGCGTGGCAAAATGTATAAACAAACTCGCCAGGATTGCCACTCCCCACTTGGGGCTAGGCGTGGCATTCTTGAGTTGGGGTTCCTCGCCGCACGTTTCGCCAGGCGTGCACCAAGCGTGCATGAACTACAACATGATCTTGGCGACTTGCTGAGCCGTAACCGTGGGCCGGGGTTTGCATAGGATTATTTGCCATTTTTTCGCAGGTTTAACCGCTGTTTGGGAAGATCATATGTCTTTTTGCACTTCAAAGTGTTTGGGAAGAAGTGGCGAAACTTTTTGGTAAGCAACAATTCGGGATTCTTTCTCCTGAGCTGGAGGCTGGAGGTTTCTTAGAGTGATCTTAGGGCCCAATGTGAACAGGTTTCGACCAAAAATCAATCGGGGGGATCCTTTCGATTTTGAAGCAAAGGCCTCGCCCACCTTGGTTCATGTGGTCGTGATCTTTTTTTAAAGTACCCTTTTGGAGCTGGCTTAAAGGGAAGCCTGAAGGACAACCACCATTTTGATTTTCTCAAAAAAGTCAATCCCATGGTCAAGGCACAACAAGCTAAAGCTACCAACTTATTCTAACCTCCGAAACTGGAGGACCTAGTATTGCAGCATCTTGTAAGAGGACACCTGAGCCTGTTGTGCTTCATCTCTGGGAAACAACTCGAGATTTGTTTATTGTTTTTTTTCCGCGTTGCTTTTTGGTTTGTCCTGGGGATTGCTTTTTTTTGGTGGGGGGTTCGTTCCCTTGTGCGTGCGTGCGCAATGAGGACTACCGCAAGAGGTCCAAGGCCGTGGACCGGTTCTCCTCCTACGCCTTGCACTACCGCAAAGCCATGTCCGCCGCTGGGCGCACGCTCGCTCTCCCCCCCAGAAATCCGGGGAAGACGGACCCCACTCAGCGGAAGCGTCCGGAGAATGGGATCGTTCTAAGAACTTAACCATTTACTGAAGAATTGTCTTTTTTTCAGCTGTTGGGAAGGGAATCTATCACTAATCGAAATATGTCTAGTCTTTTCCGGGGGACTCAAGCAAATAGAGGAGACGGTATCCATTCTCGCCATTCCCCCCAAGACCGAAGCTACTCCCACGAGTTGAATGGGATACACAGCCACTTAAAGCCACTATGTGAAGGGTATATACCCCAATTTTCCCTGCACCTAGTGGTTTGGGGGGGTAGTGGACACCATCTTGGAATCATGTCCGCTGGGGGAAGGCATCCCTGACTTGGTCCGGATCATTCCGCTGACAGGTTCGACCCAAACCCAGGGTTTCGCAACTTCGGCGAAGTCTTTGATATTCCTTAAGAACCATCATGCCGATATTCACCCCTGGAATGGTCTCGGGTCCCAGTCAGTTCCCTGGTTGTTTTTCACAAAACCCTCTAGCAAAAGCAAGTCTCATCCTCCTTGCGAAACAAAGGCGGAATGTCACCCGATGAGCCAATACCCATGGGGTCATAGATAGACCTGGATCTAGGGCTTGCCCTTCCAAACCTCTTTGGAGGCTGTGTGGGTAGGTGGGTGGGTTTGGGTTTGGGTTTGGGTTTAAATTTGGGTTTGGGGTTGGGTGGAGTTTGGGTTGGGTTGGGTTGGGTTGGGTGGGTAGGTGGGGGGTGGGTGGGTGGGGGGATGGGTTTGGGTGGGGTTTGGGTTTGGGTGGGGTTTGGGTGGGTTTGCGTTGTTTGCTGGGTTTGGGTTGGGTGGGGTTTGGGTTGGGTGGGGTTTGGGTTGGGTTGGGTTGGGTTGGGTTGGGTGGGTAGGTGGGGGGGGGGGGGGGGGGGGGGCGGATGGGTTTGGGGGGGGGTTTGGGTTTGGTTGGGTGGGGTTTGGGTTGGGTTGGGTGGGGTTTGGGTTGGGTTGGGTTGGGTTGGGTTGGGGTTGGGTTGGGGTTGGGGTTGGGGTTGGGGTTGGGGTTGGGGTTGGGGTTGGGGTTGGGGTTGGGGTTGGGGTTGGGTGGGGTGGGGTGGGGTGGGGTGGGTGGTGGGTGGGTGGTCGGGTGTGTGGGTGTGTGGGCGTGTGTGGGTGTGTGTGTGTGTGTGGGTGTGTGTGGGTGTGTGTGGGTTTGTGTGCTTGTGTGCGGGTGGGTTGGTGTGGGTGGGTGTGCGTGGGTGTGGGTGGGTGTGCGTGGGTGTGGGTGTGGGTGGGTGGGTGGGTGGGTGGGTGGGTGGGTGGGTGGGTGGGTGGGTGGATGGGTGGGTGGGTGGGTGGGTGTGTGTGTGTGTGTGCGTGTGCGTGTGCGTGTGTGTCTGTGTGTCTGTGTGTGTGTCTGTGTGTGTCTGTGTGTCTGTATGTGTTTGTGCGTGTCTGTGCGTGTCTGTGCATGTCTGTGCGTGTCTGTGCGTGTCTGTGCGTGTCTGTGCGTGTCTGTGTGTGTGTGTCTGTGTGTGTGTCTGTGTGTGTGTCTGTGTGTGTGTGTGTGTCTGTGTGTGTCTGTGTGTGTCTGTGTGTGTCTGTGTGTGTGTGTGTCTGTGTGTGTGTGTCTGTCTGTGTGTGTGTGTGTGTCTGTGTGTCTGTGTGTGTGTGTGTGTCTCTGTGTGTGTGTGTCTGTGTGTGTGTGTCTGTGTGTGTGTGTGTGTGTCTGTGTGTGTCTGTGTGTGTGTGTGTCTGTGTGTGTGTGTCTGTGTGTGTGTGTGTGTCTGTGTGTGTGTCTGTGTGTGTGTGTGTTTGCGTGTGTCTGTGTGTGTGTGTGTCTGTGTGTGTCTGTGTGTGTCTGTGTGTGTCTGTGTGTGTGTGTCTGTGTGTGTGTTTGTGTGTCTGTGTGTGTGTCTGTGTGTGTGTCTGTGTTCGGGCGTGTGGGTGCGTGTGCGTGTGCGTGTGCTTGTGGGCGTGTGCTTGTGTGCGTGTGCGTGTGCGTGTTTGTGTGCGTGTGCTTGTGGGCGTGTGCTTGTGGGCGTGTGCGTGTGCGTGTTTGTGTGCGTGTGGGCGTGTGCGTGTTCGTGTGCGTGTGCGTGGGCGTGTGCATGTGCGTGTGGGACCGTTTCCAGCAACTGAAACCAAACACAAGATGGGGCTCACTGAAACAATCTAAGTCATTAAAACTAGAAGAGTGATCGCAGTATAGTCTCAACATCTGCTTTCGTTAGGCTTGCCATTTGATGGACATCAACAACGGCAGGTTCTTCCCATGGCTCACGCTGCTTGGCGAGGGGAGAGGGGAATGGCACGGATGTGAACCAGTTTGATCCTTGAGGGATGTATCATGAATGTCAATCCATACAACAATAGGTCAATCGCCTTTGTTCTTTGCGGCTCAGACTCGGACCAATGGGATCTCCGTTTTAGTGTGCTAGTCGACGACCTAAACGCCCGTGGCCACAACAGTACGGGAGCCACGCTATGTCTCATTCTCCTAGGATCGTCACTCGTGCAGGATTCAGTGTTCTTGGCTTGACCCTACAAGTAAACCTTGTCTACTGCTCTGGTGAAAGCTAGTAAATAAGAGGCAATGCTTTGCATAAACAGTTGTGATAGCAAGAGAACTCGATGATGAAAAGGTGCTCAAACATCGACAGAAAGACACCAGGACTGTGCAGAATGATGTTCTTTCAACAACAATGTTCGAAACATGTTCAAGCAGTCTGAGACGTTTGTCCCCACCCTGAAAACGACAGAATTGCATTTGGGGGGACAAGATGCCTGGAGTGTTCCAGATTGTGAAACGAGTATTAATACTCAGCCGTGCCTTGTTTATTTCAACTTGTTGGATTTTACGTCACAATGAAGTTCGATGTATGAGCCGCCATCACGTGAGCGAGGTATGCACGACGTGTCATCGCGCTGAAGTTTGCATTGTTATGATCATGGAAGGTGATTGTTTTTTGCGTTCATGGGCCGTTTTTAAGTCATCTGCCTTTTCCTTCCTTTGTGTAAATGCACAGCGCGAGGTCCAATCATGCACTGAATGCATGGATTTTATGCTCACATTTGCCAACATCATCATGCCCCAATCAATGACTTTGATTTGCAGAAGGCTGTTGCATCCCGCAACATGCTCATATAAATCATGTTCGCGGTCTTTGTCACACTTGCAACCGCATTGTTTGAACTGCATGACGCCCTTGTCTTGCTGGGGCTCAGCCGGGAATGAGGGAATGATCCTTGTTAACCATTCCTTGTGGCTTCCGTCAAGGGAATCCCTGGGTTCATTCCCACATTCCCCGCTGAGCACCAGCACGTTGTTACTCAGGGGTTTTCCGTTGGCCCCGCTTTAAGGTTAAACCCAAAGTGGTACCACCCGCGGGTCGTTGCCAAGCACATGTTCTCCGCCCCCCTCCCCCCACCCCCCCGAGCAACAAGTACTGTGTGCCGCTGGTACCCCTGTTAAAGATACTAATGCCAAGCCCATTTTTTCCTTTGTAGACACAAGTGGGTGTGGCAATCAAAATTAAACAGGAGGGGCTGGCTCCGCAGGTCTTGGTACCCATGTTTCCACTTACCGATCGGGCAACCCATGTTGGCATTCTGTTTTTTTGTTTTCGCCTCAGCCAAGTGGCTGCAGGGAGTCAACCCTCCCCATCCCGCAAGCGGTCTTCGCAAAGCCTCCGAAACTCGAGGACGATCTCCATGGGCATCTACGCCATAGTGGGTGTCGAGCAGCTGCGAATAGGCGAGGTCTGAGAGGGCCAACACATGAGACGAGGGCTGAAAGTCGGAGGCTCGCCTTTCCAACTTGGCGTTTTGAATGTCCTTTCAGGGCTCCTTAAAAGATGTGGCCATTTTTTGCAACCATTGGACACATTTTGCGTTTTTCCCACAAAAACACAGGGAAACCACCATTTGCAAGTTGCAATGTTCAGGTGTTTTTCATGTAAGGATCCCTGTTATATTTCCTTTCGCGGGTCCCGAGGACAGCAACATGGGCACAGGAGGTCGCAATCTCACTCGCGCTTTGGAGTTTCATCCTATTCTGGGCGGGTGAATTATCAAGACGGGTGAATTATCAAGATTCACCCAGAAAACGCGTTGTTCAAACTGAACACGCTCTGACACATGCTCAATGTGGAAGAACCTGACTGCCACGGTAGGATGCAATTTAGGTGTTCTTGGATCCCAACTTTCATGGTCCCTCCTGATGCTGGCAGCTAAACTGGACCTTGAACAAGTGGATGGTGACGTCTTCTCCGGGCTTCGCGAAATCCGAAGCATTGGCAAAAAGGGACCAAGCGCTTGGTGGGACGTGATATGGATTGAACCAAGCGTACGCGAGAAAAGCCTTTTGGTTCGGACTTTCAAGCGTGCTTATGTCCTACAGAGGCCTTGTGGGAGGGGTCAGAGGGACCATGCCTTTCCGTCCCTCAGTTCGTTTCAAGAAGCCACACGCCGAATAAGTTGTGAACGTGCACGAGACTTGGGCACGTGCTCCTCTGGCCATGAAGCCCTTCCCCTTGACGATTGTCATAGGCCGATTTGATGAGATTGTTGTTGAAAAAAAACAGAATTAGGGTTGTACATGTGTTGTGTCTATGTCATAAGCAACACCGTCCCGTTCCGGTGAATTAGGAAATCACACTAGCCCAACCCCAACAAGTACCAGGGTTTGGGCTCGCTTTCTTTAGATGTTCCCGATTGGAGTTAGCCTGTCAACCCACGCCGCTGCTTTCTCCATGTCAGATGTACTGCACTTTCTCTACCTCGACTCCACCCACCCTGTTAGGATTATTGCCAGGCTTCTTTGCTGCACAAGTTGTCAAAAGAGAGCAGTGGGTTGGGATTGACTGCGAAGCTTCATGCGGTTCACCCATGAGTTCGGTGACAAACCTTCATGCCGTTCTGAAAACCTTGGATCCCTCGCGGGGTGCAGCTACTCAAATTCACCGCAGGGGTGAAGACCACAGACCACCCAATGTCCGTGGCTCTTGTGATTCATGGGGAGCAGTTCCCCATCGAAAGTGGGGAAACATACCCAGGGAGTTTGGGGAAGCAAACAAAACCCAGAGAAAATTCCCCTACCCCAAACGGAAAACTATCCTACCCCAACCCCCCAAATCCCCCACCCCAAAAGAGGCCACCCCCCAAATTATGAGCTTGCTTCTACCCCACCACCCAATGGATTCCCCCCCCCTTCCCCCGCCGATCGGCAACGGGCCCTACCCCGCACCCCCGACTCCCGACGCTCGACGCGCGCCCAACCCGCGAAACTTCCGCGGGCGAGGCGCCACGAACATCGGCACCTTCGTGGCGACCTTTGGGATCTTCGTGGAGGTGGGCCATGAGTTGGAGCGGGGCTACGCGACTCGGAGGAACTTGGAGCTTGGAAGCGGGAACCCCAAAGCGGGGGGGAGAGGGGGAAGGGGGTGGGAAGTCAAGTGGATCTCTTCGTTTTGTGGAGGAAAAGAAAGCCGCATTTGGTGGATCTCGGCATTCGACCTAGTATGACTTTTCCATTTTTTCTTCCTTTGGAGGCCCCTTGTGCTGCCGCTATAGGTAAATCAGCCAGAAGGGTGCAGTGTTGTTCGTTTTTGTTGGAAGCCTCTTTCGGCTACAGCCGCCTTGTGGCCCTTGTTCTGTACCTGCAATTGTTCAAGCGCCACAGCCGTATTCGTTTCAACAGCAACAGCAACTCTACCAAAAAAGAAAAACGTCCGGATGGGGTGAAGTGTCCAGGGACAGTTTAACGCGTTGTCTTGATTTCCCGTGCAGAGCAACTGCAAACAACGCACCACACGAGTCTGATTTGAAGATTATAGGTGCTTCTGTGCGGGGCAGGGGGGGTTGACAACACGGAATGCAGGACCATGCGCATATTTGGGTGTCTCTTTTTTTTTAGGAACCCCTAAAATGGTGGTGTTTCTTTTGGTTGCCCCTTAAAGCTCCCCACAAAAGGTGTACCATCAAAAAATACACACCCATTTATCCCTCATCCTTTAAATTAATGTTCAACCAATGGACACCAAACTGTGCGCTTCGACCTCCCTCAACGAATCCGATTCTCGACAATAGCTGACTGGTACATTGGGCCAGCTTTGCACCCCGGCTCCAATCAGAGAAATGGGAAATCGCCGGCAGGAAATGAGAATTGGAATGCCCCCGAGATAAACCATGCAACCTACTCCAAATACCCACTTGTTTTAGGGTATTTTCTGAAAACCCTGGGTTTTTATGGTAAATACATTTTTTTTTAGTATAGTAGAGGGTCGACATCATACCCTAGCAAAAGGCCGGGTATTTGGAGGTTATGGGGGTCAAACTTATGGTTTCCTTTAAGGGAATCCCCTTTCGGTTCATTCCCAATACCCGGAACGGTCATTCCCCTATATATCGCAGCAGCAAGATGAAGGCTTCTTACGTGGGCCGGTATTTCAGGTGAGTTGATATAGTGTGGATGGTTGCGACATCCATTTCGCACCACCGTTCAGAAACCCTAGAATGTTGTTTCCCCAACGTAAATACCAACAAACTTAATGGTTTCAACCATGGTTTCAAAGTGGTGCGAACGGATTTCGTCCATCCACAGTTTGCGCGAACTCATTCCTCCTTTACATCGCTCTTTAAATTGCTTGACTCGCGGCGGCCTGCCGAGAGTCCTGCGGGCAACCTTTCTGTTGCCTGTGTTCGAGGCACCAGTGGCATTGTACTGCAACAAGATTAGATTTGCAACACAATTCACCATGCAGCGGTGATCTTGCCTGCCTAGGACTTCAACCGAGTGCGGTTTGCTGAGTTTGATGCATGCCCCGGGTTCCATTGGGTTGAGGTTCAAGCCCTGATTAGCAATTCAGCCACGCGCTTTCTGGTAAAACCTTCACCTGCCGAGAGAGTTTCAGGTGAAGCTTTTGGAGGATGTATGTAAATTTGAGGTTCCCGCTTTTGGGTTTTCATGGGATTTGACAAATCGAGCATCGAGCAGGATATCAATTTCTGGAGCCCCGAAACACCACTTTTTTTTTGGTCAAATGGCATATTTGGCATGTTTTACCCGACGGTTTTTTTTGCTTTTTTTTCCGGTCATTTGCCAGAGTTGCCCGTATTTGGCCGTATAAAACCCGTATTTTGTCGATAAAATATTGAAAAGAAAGCGAAGGACAACGTATTTGGCCGTATGACCACTTTTTTCGGGCAAAGCCTTTTGACCAAGAAAAAAACAGTGTTTTGGGGCCCCAGGTTGTTAATGGACGGAACTTGCTTTTGCCAAAGTGACTAAGGAGGTAATGATGGAAATGATCCACGCATTCCACGTGGTCAAGGATTTGACCCGCCTGCTCAACTTGCCCACGGAGACGTGGTCTGCACTTCATTGTTATTGGCCTGTTTTGTGGGTGGCGCGCTGCCGAAAGAAACCATGATCGCCAACGTACTAAGGGTTGCAAAGATTTGTCTTGTTTCCGCCGTTTTGCTCAAAAAGGCGCCATCGCGGCGGCGCCGCTGAGGGGCCTGAGTTTGGCGATGTTTGCCCATGTTTGGGGATCTTTCAGGACCATCCCTCGTAGCCAAGGACAGACGTAAATCGGGCGCAATGCGCCCGGCCATGTGCGACAAACTTGAACTCTTGTGTTCTCACACAAGGGCCCTTGGACTTTTCCTTGAATCAGAGCGCTTGATGGGACTTGGCTTGTGCGTCAAGTTTGGAGTTGTACAGAATGCATGGACGTCGACTTGCTTTCTTTAGTTCGAGTGGCTAGGACATGCATGTTGATGAGGATAATGATGATGTACCTGGAGTCTCCATGACCCTTTAAAAATGGGTCCATTACCCAAAATAATGGGGTCATGGACCCATTTTTAAAGGGTCATGGAGACTCCAGGTAGTCTTTATGGCCCGATAGAGTGGGTCGTGGTTTCTCGTGATTTGTGGGATGTTTTGAAGGCGCCTTATGCCTCAACTTAGAGACAGATGTTCTCCAAACAGATCCCAGCAGATTTAGGAAATGAAAGTCGCCACTTAAGAACGGTAGTCACACACGTCCCGAATCTACAGTTGGAACCTGTTTGCGAGCTTTACACGCCAGTGGATCGATCTTAAGTCTCGTGCGCGAAGTATCTGCCACATTCTGCCACGCGTTTTCGCGGTACGTTCGGGGAACCGCTCCGAATCACTTGGGTCAAAAAAAGTCCCCGAGGATGATGCTGACCGCATGACCAACATCCAGCATCGGTTGAAGGAGGGGATGGAAGCACGCGAGAGGAAACTGCAGGAGTTGATGGTGCAGAATCAGAGCAACTCGTTGGCAGCCCGTAACCTCCAAATACGCGGCCTTTGTCTAGGGATATTTTTATGCAAAGCTTGGTTTTTCACGGTAAATACCTCCCTTTTCAGGAGAGGGTCGACATCATTCCCTAAAAAAGGCGGGTATTTGGAGTAGGGGGAATGCTGGTTGAGTACGTTAGTTTGTCCAGAAACGAAAAGGGGGATGAGTATGTTTCAGGTTTTCCAGACCCCTTTGACACCCAGTCAGACTGACTATTGATAGTTGAGCCGTTGGCGTCCTGATGTCCATATTCCAGGTTTGTTGTTGGCTCAATGTGACGCATTTTGCATGTGTTCCCGCGGCTTTCCGGCTGAAGCATACTCCCACGCCTTGACGCTCAGATACCCTTGCCAATGGATATTCTTTGAAAGCCTGTCATACCGCCCAGGCATTATGTCACTGCAAGCCTACACTTCAATATGTGCAGCGTAGTTCGCATGAGTTACCTATTCAAAGAAGCACAAACACAATACGTGAGGAGGGGGGGCCTTCAATTGGTTCGCTTTCCTGCCACATCCCAACCTGGCCCCGTTCGCGCAGCCGTTGGAAGTTGGTGTGTGAAAAGAATCAGTTTCGTTGGGCACGCTCGCCTCAATCCCTCTGCCCCACAAACATGGGTGTGGCAATCAAAATTAAGCAGGGGCTGGCTCCGCAGGTTTTGGTACCCATGTTTCCACCCGATCGGGCAACCCATTTTGGAGTTCCGGTTTCTTGAGCCACAGCCATATTTTGGGGCTATAACCAAGATGTAAGGAGATTTGGAGGGTTCAGGTAGGGTTCATTTTGGAGTTCCGGTTTTTGGACTGCTTGTGCCCTCCAAAATTGGACCTGCCAGCAACACGCAGGCCGAGCGCGCCTGCATCTCCAGTACCCCCAAGTTGCATCTGCCAATGGCTTGTTCTCCGACCAACTCCGTGGTCTTCCTCCAATTTTCCCCGCAACCGCGTTTTTAAGTTGGGCTTTTTGGAAACACCTGAGTTTCCAGGTTAAATACCTCTTTTTTTTAGTATAGGGTCAACATCATACCCTAGAAAAGAGGGTATTTGGAGTAGGGGGTCCCTTGGAAACCCACTGGGCTTCGTGGTGAAGGAGTTCTACGCTCTGGCTCAGAGACTCCAGCAAACATGTCGAATCTCTGAACGATGCTTGATAGCTGATACTAGATCCAAACGCCAGTCGATTCGGGGGTCTGCTTATCTCATGGTCGCAAAGCCTTTGTAGACAAGGTTGATGGCATTCAGTTCATCAAGCCTTGTGAATATGGTTGTAGATCATCAGTGCATGGGATTTCTGTTAAGCGTCACCGTCCCTTCTGAGTGACCATGGCATTGGCAGCGATTCCGCAGCATTCGCAAGTTCTTCCAGCACAGAGTCCTTGTTTGGATCAGACAATTTGGTCAGCTGCAGCTGAGCTATCCGTTTCCATCCGGCCCCCGATTTCTGCAGGACCTCAACCTTAACCCCTAACCATAACCCTAATTCTAACCCTAACCCTAGATTTGATTGTGCCTTTTGTGTGTAGCTCTTACTCAGAGGGTTGACCCCTGGGTTTTTGCAAAAAGAGACGGACGATAAGCTACGCCAATTTTTGAGCGAGAAATCTCGGAGTGCCGTGCCGACTTCGGAAGTGGGAAGGCCATTTGTTTGTCCACTAATGTTAACCCCGGATGAAGTTAAACCCCTGGTTGATTTTGATTGGGGGGTGTCCCCGTTTAGTGGGGATTCAGACCACTTTTGGAGGGAACACCCCCCTAATGGGACAGGTTTATTAATCCGGGGTCAACATTAGATGGAGATTGATGTGTGCAGGTGTCACGGGGCGCTTCAACAGAGTTGCATGCTACGCCGACAATCTCATTGAGTTGGTGCGACAGGGGGCGATTGAAAGGAGGTTGGTCGTTCTATTCGTCTTTCAGATCCCTTTTGCCACCATGGATTTGAAAACCCACTCCGCTCGCCCAGGTGGCGGGGACGAGCCTTGGATGCGTCCAGACGGATTCGCCTTTTTGGATCGAAAGACGAGATCGGTTGGTCCCAAATGTCTGGATTTTGGGAGGCGCTCATTGGATGAATCATGTGGTTGCAGTTTAGGCTGACCTGTTCCCAACATTTTACTTTTGGATGGTGGACAACCGACAACTTGGAGAAACTTGAAACCACCATTTGGAGGCCAATTTCAAGGATGCCTGGAGTCTCCATGACCCGAAATAAAAATGGGGTCATTGCCCCATTATGTTGGGTA